TTCTTGCAGAAGACCCAGGTTCGAATCCCAGCACCCACATGACAGCTAACAACTATACATAACTCCAGTTCCAGGGGATCCAACAGCTTCTGACCTCTGCGGGCATTGTATGACATGGGTGCACTTACCTACGTGCAGGTAATACACACATACACATAAAATAAAAATAATAAAATTAAAAAAATATATACAAAAGCTGTCCTGAAACTAAATCAAAAGATGGTAAAAACCAGGAATCCCTCAATAACAGATCAATTTTGATTCTGTCTAATGGATATTTTAAGGGCCTTAAACTAAAATCTATATGGAAATAAGACAACTTTACCAACTTAGTGGCTCAGTCTGGGGTTTACATTTTATTGGGGTGAGGGAGAACAATTGTCCAACTCTTTATAACTAACATAGTGAAAAGCAAGTGAATTACTTAAGGAAGAGGTAATAAGGCGGCTAGAGAGCTGGTTCAGCGGTTAAGAGCACTGACTGCTCTTGCAGAGGACCGGGGTTTGATTCCCAGTAATCACATGGTGGCTAACAATGGTCTGAAACTCCAGTTCCAGGAGAATCCAATGCCCTCTTCTGACCTCCAGGGCATTACACAAGACAGGTGCATTTACATACATGCTGGCAATACACTTGTACACATAAAATAAAAACAATAAATAAAATATATTTTAAAAAAAAAAAAAAAAGGAAGAGAAGGCTGGGCATGGTGGAGCATGCTTTTGATCCCAGGACTTGAGAGGCAGAGGTAGGAGGATCTCTGTGAGTTCAAGGCCAGCCTGGTCTACATAGTGAGTGCCAGGCCAGCTGGGGCTATAGGGAGACCGCTGTCTCAAAAAGACAAATAATAGATAAATAAGTAAATAAATAACTTACAAAAATGATGCAAGTTGGGCATGGTGGCACACCTCTCTAATACTAGCTACTTGGAAGGTAAGACAGGAAGATTGCTTAAACCCAGAAATGAGGCTAACTTGAGCAACATAATGAAACTCCATTTCAAAACCCAAAGTTATGTAAAAATCAGTTGAAAATAGCAAATGAAAACTTAAAAAGAAAAATTAATAACACTCTCAATCACATCATCAAAAGATCCATGTCAAGAAAAACACAAGTTGTCTGAGTCCAATTTACATTTATATTAATTCTTTTTGAGCAGTATCACTAAGTAATATAGGGAAAATAAGTGAGAATGTAATTAAAAGCAGGGAAAAAAATCTCTTTACTAAGTCTAAAATGATGTGAACTATATCAAAGTTCAGTAGGCTTCACTGAGATTATTCCTCACTCCCGAATTCAGGAAATAGTTTGGATCA